CTCCCTGATGGTCTAAGTAGATCCCAGCAGCCATGTCAATCTCTGGTCCACCTCCAATTCTTAGTTCAGACTGTCTTCCCTCCAGCCCCCTTCTCTTCAGCTTTCTCTTTTCTTTTTTTTAGAGAGATTTTTGCTGTCGGGTGCAATGCACTTACTGGAGAGACAAGAGAGACAAGGAACCAGAGAGACAAAAAGCGAGAAATCACCCCCCGTTCCAGGGGGGATGGCCATGCTGCATCCCTTCTCCATTCACCTCTCACACCCTGCATGAGTTTTAAGCCAGCAGGCCCGAGACTCAAACTGTGGTGGACGACATGGGAGTCCAGTGATGTGACTATTACACCATCTGCTGGTCCCTTTGCTTCAGTTTTTACTTGCCCTTCACAGGAACCCAGTGTGAGACTGGGCATACTGGTAGTACTGGAGAGAGCTGTAGGAGGGAACATGGCCTCCTTTGGCCTCTCACCTGGAGGCATCTCTGGGCCCCCCAGGTCGGGGAGAGGATGACCCTCTGTGCCCAACGAACACCTTCTCTCAAGTGTCATCTACCTCAACTGACAGAAAGATCTAGGCTCCCATAAGAGCAACGAGGGGGTAAGAAGGCCTTGCCCTACAGAGGGACACTAGGGACCTGCTCTGGGTAGGAAGGTCCCAGGGCTGCCCATTGCTCTGTCAGGCCCCTCTGCCCTCTGATCTGATGCCAACTCCATAGCCCAGCTTCTCAGTCAAGAGACTCCTGGTGGGTGGTCAAACCCGAGCACTGATCCACTTTCACCTAGGAGGTCTTGAGACAAATGCCACAGGGCTGGCCCCCAACTTTTCCTCTCTCATTTATCCCCAGACCCTAGTCCATTGAAATCCCATCACCTGCCACCTGAGGTCAGTCAGCCAGTGGCCCTACGGAATAGTCCATAAGGTAGCCTGTCACCATCTTGGCCCCTCTCAGTAACTGTATGTCCTCCTCCTCTTCTCGATCCAACCCATGGCTCTCCTTGTCACCGGTCTCCTGACCTGCCCAGGGAGCTCATCTTCCAGGGTTGAATACTGAGGTCTCACTCCAGACCTCAAGACCCTTTCCCAGCTCGAGTTCCTCCCAGTTCTTATTCCCAGGATAAGGATGGCGGGAAGGCCCAGGCCACCTCCTGCTACAAGACCTCTAGCCAGTTTGGTTTTCTTGTCATTTCTATCTATAAAACAAGAGGTTGAAATGGAGTCTTTTTAGCTAGAAAATTCCATGAATTTTTATTTTTAGTCTTAAATTGAAGTAATCTCTTTATCGAACCGCCTTTCCTTTTCCTGTTGTCCTATTCCTCTGTTATTTGTACATTCATCCAGGCATGACATTTCAGAGTAGAGATGTAAAGTTTCTAAAAACATGTGAAGCCATGAGAGGGAAAAAATCTACTAGTGCAGGAAAAGCAATAGTAACCATAGAATGAAATAGAAATCTGTTCACTTTAGTTGGTTAGTACTTATTTTTTTAATAGATGTATAGACCATTATTACTTTGACATAGAATTTATTTGCCTTGATTCATTTTTTAAAACCAAATTATTTTAGCTGGTTAATATAGCAATGCAAAAGCCTGGGAAAAACAGGAGCAATCTGTGGATAAACAAATGTATTTTTCTTCAAATTTTTGGAGAATGAAAACAAAAAACGTTTTGGAATTGTTTCAGAACATCGGGTTTTTTTCCATTTTGGCTTTTTCCACTTTTACCTCAAGGTCATCCCCTTAATTCCTGTCTAATTAGTCATCTTATCTTGTCAACTGTTCTTCAAAATAATTCTCTAAGGAGCCCGCAGATGGCGTGAAGGTTAAGGGCTCTGGACTCCCACATGGCTGACTGTGGTTTGAGTCCCAGATCTGGCAGCTTGCTTTCTCATTTCCTCCAACCCCCCAGTCAAATTTAAATGAATGAATGAATGAATGAATGAATGAAGTTGGGGCCAGCAGGTGGCATGGTGGTTAAGGTGCTGGAATTCCCACAGGCTCAACTGTGGTTCAAGTCTTGAACCTGGTGGCTTGCTCTCACTCTCCCTCCCTCTCTGGCAAAATTCACATGAAAAAATAAATATATAAATAAAATGAATAATTCTTTAAAAAAATAAATGAATCATGGGACTAGCAGTGGCATAATGGCTATGTCATTGGACTCCCATGTAGTTGACCACAGTTCGAGTCTGAGACCTGGCAGCTTGCTCTCTCACTCTCTCCTTCTCTTTTTCCTTCTCTTGTCATATTAAAAATATGCCATGTGGGAGTCCAACACCTTAACCACCACGCCACCTGCTGGACCCAATAAAATAACTCTTAAAAGAAAACAAAGCAAAAAAATAGCTTTGGAGACTGAGGGGAAATAGGACTGACCATGGCAGCTGCGGAAGACTGGGGCCCTGAAAGGCCACAAACCACAAGTGGGGCAGGCGCGACCTTCGAATGTAATCTATGTTTGGAGACTGCTCGGGAAGCTGTGGTCAGTGTGTGTGGCCACCTGCACTGTTGGCCCTGTCTTCATCAGTAGCTAGAGACACGAGCAGAGTGATAAGAACGCGGTGTGTAAAGGTGGGATCAGCAGAGAGGTCATCCCATCGATGGGCGAGGGAGCCAGAAGCCTCAGGATCCCAGATTGAAGACCCCACCCCGACCCCAGGGCCAGCGACCCCTTCTGAGAGCAGAGGGAAAGTCCAGCCATTTGGTGATACTGGGGGCTTTCACTTCTCATTTGGTGTTGGTCTTTCCCTTCGGCTTTTTCACCACGGCCTTCAATACCCACGAGCCCTTTCATAGGGCTATGGGTGTGGATCTGGGACAGGGTCACCAACCTCTAGTTGGCAGGATTCCCTCTCCCTGTGTCTTGCCATTTTCTTCTTCTGGCTGCTCAGTATTTGAGCTGGTCTTCTTCCTGCCCATCTCCAACCAGAGGAGAATTAGTACTGGGGTTCCTGCGGACCCTTCCTCACTCCTGGACCTCCACTCCTCCACTTCTGTGGGCTATGGCCAACCTGGCCACTGTCAAGGAGGGTGTGGAGAGGAGAGACTGTGCTTCCTCAGCAGCACGGAAACCCCTGGCTGTGGAGTAAGAGGACAGAATGAAGAGAATGTGTTTCTCCTTTCTCTTGTTTTGAATTATTTAAATTTATTTATTCATTCATTTACTTTGATTTGATCAGAGCGAGACATAGAGAGAGAGGGAAAGTGAGAAAGCAAGCTGCCAGGTCTAAGACTTGAATCGTGGTTGGCCATGTGGGAGTGTCCAATACCTTAATCATCACGCCACCTACTGGTCTCCATGTTTCTTTCTCTCTCTCTCTCTCTTTTTTTTTTTTTTTTTGGAGAGGTTTTTGCTATAGAGAGCATGTGCTCACCAGAAAGACAGAGAGATACAGAGAGACAGAAAGCAAGAAATCACCCTCCGGGGGGGAGGCCACGCCGCAATCCCTTCTCCTCCATTCTTCTCTCAGGATCTTGGGCACACATGCCTGGTATGAGGCTAAGCCACAAGGTCTGGGACTCAACCACAGTTGACTACATGGGAGTCCAGCAATATAACCATTACACCAACTGCTGGTCCCTCTCCTTTCTCTTAATCCTTTGCTTTCACCCAGGTTTCGTTCTCCTTTTTTTAAAGAATTATTTTATTTATCTTTATCTATTTAAATGTGACCAGAGAGGGACAGAAAGCGGGAGAGAGAGAGAGAGAGAGAGGGAGAAAGCAAGCCACCAGGTGTAGGACTCGAACTGCAGTTGGCCACGTGGGAGTCCAGTGCCCCCAATCACCATGCCACCTGCCGGTCCCTCACCCAGGTTTCTTAAGTTGAAACATGGGCAAAGCTCTCTCCAACTCTCAACTCTCCCTCTTGATTTAATTTTGCCTTCCTAATGTATAATGTGGGTCCTGACTCTTAAGTGCCCCTCCACCTCCATTATTACAAATTCAATAAAAAAATGAAATATAAAGAAACAAAACAAAAACCTCTCTAGCTGGTCTACTTCTCACCTCTGTCAACACAGAGTGGTGGCCCACACCCTTCATTACAGTCTCTGTCTTTGCCTTTATTTAAGGTAAAAAAAGTTTTCAGAGCCAGCACGTATATGCCACCTGGTTAAGGCACTGGACTCCCACATGACTGATTGTGCTTTGAGTCCTGGACCTGGCGGCTTGCTTTCTCTTCCCCCCTATCTCTCTCTCTGAGTATGTGTGATGTGTGTGTGTGCCCTTGTAGAAAAAAATTAAAAACAATAAGGGTCAGCTGATGGCATGGTTGTTAAGGTGCTGGAAGCCCACACGGCCAACTTGTGGTTTGAGTTCCAGACCTAGTGGCTTGCTTTCTTACTTTCCTCTCTCTCTGTGGTAAAGTTAAAAATAAATGAACAATAATAATAAAACCCCAATAATAATAAATAATTTTTGAAAGATTTTATTTAACTTATTTACTTATTTATTTTCATTTGACCAGAGAGAGAGAGAGATAGAGAAAGTGAGACAGAAAGCCACCACGTCTGGGACTTGAACCGCAGTCGGCCATGTGGGAGTCCAGCGCCCTTAAACACCATACCATCTGCCGACCCCAATAAATAATTCTTAAAATCCAACAAGGTCAACTGTAGTTCGAATCCTGGACCTGGTGGTTTGCCTTTCACTTTCCCTTTCTATCTCTGGTCAAATTTAAAAATAATAACAAAATAATTATTTTTTAAAAAATGGAGTCAAAATGTCACATCCAGGCCATAGATAGTGAATGCTCTCCCTTCAGCTGGGATCTTGGGTGGTGCCCACCCTGAGACAAGCCCTTCCACACACGCCCATGTCCTCTATCAGCTCAGCTGGGACGGGATCCCTCCCTGCCTCTCTGCACAGAAACCTCAGAGGAAAGCCCTGAAGAGCAGCGGGATGCTGACCCAGCAGGAGATCAGGAATATGTGAGTGCCCCACCCTGAGCCTCCCTTCAGCGGCTCAAGGCTTTCCTCATTGTGCTGCAGCTTCTGGAGTCTCTGAGCAGGGGCTGTTAGGGAGGGCTGAAGTCCTGCTTCTCTCAGGTCACATAGGGAAGCTGAGTAGAGACCGGCCTTGCAGCTCAGTGAGGAGGATGCAGGGATTCTGAGGCCCGGGATGACTCCTGCAGCAGCTCCAAAGAGGTATTTCAGCTGCAGGCTGCGGGAAGGTCCCCAGTCTTTTTTCAACCTTGTCTCCCCTCACAAAGAGACAGAGACCACAGGACAGCAACAATGGCAGGCCTTGCTGCTCGGTGATACTTTATTGGTCCTTAGCATTACATCTCAATTACCAAGGTAAGTTCACAAACATGACTGCAGGTAAAAACATGTAAAATAATATAAAAATAAATTGAAGCCTAGTTTTATATATTTACTGAATTAAGTAGTGTAATAAATACTATAATAAGCAAAAAGCTTCAATCACACAATTCAGTTTCACTGAAGTTACAGTAGTGTCCGTAAATATGAGTTTTAAAATTTAAGTTACAAATATTAAAGCACTGAAAAACTAGTATAAAAGTGAATTTTGGCACATAAGTGAGCTCTTATGTCATTAGTATTTGACACCCTGGGACAATGAGGAAGCCATTTCTCACCTACTTTTTGAGGTACAACGATCCAACTAGGTCAGCAACTTGGCTGGAATACTTAATAGTTTACAATCTTTGAGTTAAACTTTTCCCTTTTGAGAAGCTCAAAGAGCAACCCAGAGCTTATTACTGTGCAAAAATTCTCCAAAATCCCAATAGAATTTAGGAGGGAACTTTTTCCTGCAACCTGAAAGCCCAGGCTCCAGGCCTCAGGTCAGAGAGCCCCCAGGGCTCAGAGGGGCCAAGGTGACTCTTGCCAGTGGCCCCTTCACAGATAATCCCATCTTCTCCAATTTCTGCCTCCTTCTTCCAATCAGAAAAAGAAAACCCCACATCAAAACATAAAACAACCCATAACTTCAGCGACTTCGACGTTATCACACTCACTCTGGGTGATAGAAAACTGAAGCTGCTAACAGGAAAGTTGGCAAAAGCATGTAAGCCCCTGGAGGACTTCCGCCTGCCCTAGGAGCCCTGGGTCCCTGCTATCCACTAAGGCCAAAAGTTAAAACACAGTGTCATGGCCCTTCCTCTGGAGACTCCTGTAGGCCCTGCTTCCCTACTTGGAGCGCTGCCCAGAGGAATCAAGTGGGTATTACTCTTCACAGTCAGAACCCAGAGGCCCTGCAGGTCCGGAGGGCAGTGGAGGAGGATGCATCCTCCTGGCCTCAGTCCTCGAAGAGCCCACATGGTGCACCGCTGGTGCACCCTGAGGAATGCCCTTTCGCCAGTGTGCCCCTTCACACTCCCAAGCAGGCTGAGGAGCGTCTGTAGAGGCCTCAGCCAGGTTTTGCCTTTTTGGCTTTGATAATTCTTATTGTTTTGATTTCTTTCAATCACAGTTTCATATTCAAGTTGAGGTAATCAGTTTTCCCTCTAAGAGGAGAGGGACTGGGACAGTGGGGCAGGTTGGTGAGAGGGCATTTCTATGGACGATGGTCGGAAACCAAGACCACCACACAGGACAGCCCCATGAGGTGGGAGGACCCGCTCCGATGGGCGGGCTCCGGCCCCTCTTTAAAAACTCTTGTGCAGCAGCCAGGCTGCCAGGCCAGGGCAGCTGGGAAATGGCTCAAGCCCCAGACCTAGAGCTTGCATTGAAAGTTCACAGTACCCACCTGGAGGAAATGGCCTTTGTCTCCCCACCCCCACCCCCACCCCTTTTCTAAGGCTGCTCAAGTTCGAGTTTTTAAAAAGAGCTCGGTAGACCTAAAGGAAGCTACAGTAACTCATTGCTTATTAATCAATTGCACTTAAGATCTATGTTATTGTTCTGAAGCAGAGGCAGGCTCTTCACTGATCCTGGCCTCTGGCCAGCCAGAAGTCAGGGACTCTCAGACTTGGGCTCCACGGTCGGGCCTTTGTCACCAGTGGCTTTGAGTGCTGGGACTGGAGCACATGGGCTTTTTCAGAAGCCATTCTTGATACAAGACTTCATATTGAATTGTAGTTGGAATTTTGTTCATTTGGCTTTAAATACAAATCATTTTTGCTCTAATCCAAGTATGTTTTACTGACAAGCCCTTGACAACTGCTTTGCCTGCATGCAGGCCTGTGTGACCAGGCCCACAGGCCACGGGTGCTCCATCCTGTCTCTCCTCTGCATCAGGGGCTTTTCTCAAAACCCCTCTACATTACTGAAAACTTTGCTGGTTTCACCTATGTGCTTCTTCCTAAGGCATGCAAAAAATATGTGAAATTCAGAACACATTTACAATCTAGGCAGCCAAGGTGCTGAAGTCTTAACAGACATCACCCAAGTATCAGTGCCTGGGCCTCCCCAGCCCCCACTATGAAGGTCAGGCGTGGGACACACTTGCAATTCCCTCTGCTTTATGGTCCAGCTGAAAACAAAGCCGCTGGAAGGAATCCTAATTTGGGTATTGGAATTATTTGACATTCCTGATCTTCAGGATCCAAACAAGTCCAGGGCCAGCAACAATGTTCAGGGTGGGGGTGGGGAACATGAGTTTCCTGCAGGTTGTGGCTGAAAAGCAAGCCTTCCCTGGCAAGGCTGGGGAGGGCTAGGTGCTAGAACCTGACACCCCACAAGCAATCAGACCCCAAGTCTAAGACTAACCAGTTGCAGGGCGCTCCCCCAGTAGCGAAGTGTGGTTGGGGGAGTTGGGGAGCAGGCTGCTTCTGTCCCTGAACTAGGGATGCTCGAGTGATGCCACAGGAGAGCTCAAGAACCCATCACAAGAGTACTGCTTATGTCAACTGAAGAGCCACAGACTTCCAGAAAGCAGCATGCATTGCCCTCGTTGTGCCCAGGGAAATCCACCTGTGGCAGAACAAATTGATGATCTCTGCCCAAGGGCAGGACCTGTGGGCTAGGCTTGTGCTGCTCCTCCAAGACTGGGCCCAGGGCCAGTAGGACTAGCTCCTTCAATGGAAGGGGTCTAAGCAGGGTAGGCAGGCATTCCCTGGGAATGAGGGCTGCTCTGGGGCAGCACCTGAAGCCTGTGATGGCCTGATCCTGCAGGCATGGCCACAGTTCCAGCAGCTAGGGCTCCTCCTAAGTCCTGGTGGCTCCTCTCTGGGCAATTCAAATGCTTTCTTCATCCACTCTCAAGAAATGCCTCAACAGCTCAGAGGAGATACTGTCATGAGAAACCCAGAGGTCTGGACTGCCAGCCACACACAGGGCAGTCCCTGTCTGCTCACCCTTGAGGAACCCCCACCCCCAAATCCATGGCACAGGTGATGCTCTTCAGCACTGTATAGGGAATAAAGACAGCATGCACTGGAGCCAGCACACACGGGCCAAGAACAAAGACAGCCCCTTCAGGAGGGGCCTCCAGGAGAGCTGGCTCCGACAGCCCATTAGTCCATCTTCAGGGTGGGTGCCCTACAGGACGTATGGGCCCAGCCTTCCACTAGGGCTTTTGCTCAAAGAGGTCATGGTACTCCTGCTGCTCCAGCTCACGATTGTATCTCTCGATTTCCCGGTTGGCTTCTTCCACATAGTCATTCATGAACTGGTCCATCACTGGCCTCTCATTAAGGAAGAGTGCCTGAGCCTGGGGGACAAGGGAGCCCACCTGGACCCAGGGGAACCTGTGGGAGGTGAGATGGTTAGTGCCTGGCCCACATAGGGGACCTGAAGGGCTCTTTGCAAATCGTGGCAGCACCATAGCTACAAAAAATGTGACAGGTATTGGCACAGGACCCTTAACAAGGTCCCAGGACTTGGGGCTGGCAGGTGGCATGGTAGTTAAGGGCACTGGACTCCTACATGGCCAACTACGGTTGGAGTCCTGGACCTGGTGGTCTGCCTTCTCACTTTCCATCTCTCTTTCTCTCTTTCTCCCCCTCTCTGGTCAAATTTAAATAAATAAATTAATTAATTAAATGAAGTTAAATAAAATAATTCTTCTTTTTTTTTAAAAAAAAAAGGTCCCAACACTGAACCCTCCAGGTTCCATCTGCACACAGCAATGCCCCCAGGCCCACACTTCATCCACTCCATTTTTTTCACAGATTAACAGTTGCCTCCAACTTGTACTCACAAGCCCCACTGACCACCAACCTCAGGGTATAACCATAGCAGCATGCAAACTGTCACCCACGGAGTCATAGCAGCAATCACTTAATAATGGAGAAGTCTCTTTTTAACAAGTTTGAAAGGTCAAAATGTGCCAGCCTTGTAGTCTAGTAGTTAAGGGAGCAAGATCCCACATGGCTGACCACGGTTCAAATCCTGGCCCCAGTAGCTTGAAAACATGCCACTTGTGTATGTGGGCATGCCCATAATCTGAACACAAAGGAGGAATGAAGGAGAAGGGATTGCAGTGTGACCACGCTCAATTGGAAGGAGGAGTGGTACTGCTTTCCTGTTTCTCACTAGCTACTACATGGACCCTCTGGCAATTAAAACAACAAAAGGCTAAAATAATAAAAACCCAGATTCTTGGCTCAATGGTTATTTCAAGAAAAGTCAGATCCCACATGGTGATTGCAGCTTGAATCCCTGCCCCAAGGACCTTGAAACAGTAGGTATGCCTGCCAATGCCTACGATCTGACAGGCTGGAGAACTGGGGGATGATCTCAGTGTGACCAGATCCTATGGAGGACACTAGTCTTCCTCCTGCCCACCTGTGTGTATCCACATGCCTATCAGAAATGAAAGAAAAAAATTATGGCGCCAGCAGGTGGCGTGGTGGTTAAGGCACTAGATTCGACACGGCAAACTGTGTGGTACTAGACCCAGACCCGGATGCTTGGGAGACATACTCAGTGTACTCCTAAGAGGAGAGGGAAGGTAAAGGGAATGTGGTGTGGCCATCAGCTCTGGAGGGTGACTTCCCAAGTTCCCTCTTTTTCTATCTCTCTCCAGTGAGTATATGTGCCTTATAGCAAAACTAAAAAATAAATTTAAAAATTAAAAAAAAAAAGTTTTTAAAAAGGAATAAATTAAAACAAAACAAAACAAAACAAAACAAAACAAAACACCCCACCCCTGTTGATTGCTCCTGTGTGTTCCCAGTCTCAGCCTGTGGAATGCACAGCCTAGCCTGCTCCAGAGGTCGGAGGCACAGCTGCAGTGGCTCTAGCAGACAGGCTCACACACCCGCCAGCCTCGCTGCCCCAGATTCCACACAGGGACCAAGCTGCCTCCAAGGATACATGGGTTGGGGCCGGCAGGTGACATGCTGGTTAAGGGTACTGGACTCCCACATGGCCAACCGTGGTTCAAGTCCCAGACCTGGTGGTTTGCTTTCTCATTCCCCCCCCCGCCTCTAGTTCTGTCCCTCTCAGGTCAAATTAAAATAAATAAAGTTAAATAAAATAATAATTTTTTTTAAAAAAAAGGATACGTGGGTGAAAGTCCGTCTTGTCACCAAAGAAGTTAACAAACTGGGTGCCATTATAAAAGTAGCCTGCAGGTAGGGGGTCCAGGTGGCGTTTCACCTGCAGGGAAA